AGGGAGGGCTAGGAATGGAGAAAAAATAAGAACCAAGATGCATCACGTAAAGGTACAATTCGTACAATTCCCAATGAGAAATGTAATTGTGTTGTATACCTAAAATGTACCATTAAAAGAATTTAACAACAACAACAAAAAAGAAACCTGTTTGAAGGAAGTTAGAAGTGTTAAAATTACTATTAGCATTATGATGCTCATAATTGATAATATCAGTTTTAAAGCTTTTAAAGCATCATTTTTTTCATTTCCTATTAGGCAAAAATACTGCACTAAATATTGTATATAGTTTGTGAGATAAAAATATTATCCCTATTTTTTTTAAAAAACTAAATCCTAAAGAAATAGCCCAAAAGTGATAAAACTGAGACACATCCAACCTTTATATCTGTAAAACTTTATTCAATACAATTGCTTTGTCTCGATTTAAAGAGCAGCCCTTTTATTTCTATTGTGCAAAGAGTGGCAGCACAGGTGAAGAAATCTTACAGGAATAAAGGCTAATTAAACAACATTAGTCAGAAAGATGCAGAGCATCCCCACAGCTTCGACTCTCTTCTGCAAAGTAAAGGGAATAGAGCTGGGGAATTGAACCTAGTTCAAGTTATGTTTTTGGTAATTGGTAGAGCCAGCCAATCACAGAAAACACTAAATGCTAGAATTGGCACAGCAGTAGATGGCATGAGTATAAATTATGCACAGTGCTTGCCTTCCAGGAGCTCCCAAACCAATGGATGAATAAAGTTCTTTCCCAGAAAAATTAATGCAGATTTTAAAAACGCTGTGAGAAGTATATTTTAATTTCAACCAAGAAAGTACATCTCCAGATACCTGAGATTTTTCTGTTTAACGTTTTTTACTAATCTATTGTAAAACATATCTATAGATTTTGTATTTGTTTCTGTTATTAAAGCAATGCAAACACATGAAAAAAACAAAACCATTTCAGTAAGAGGCAGGGTAAAAGTCTTCTACCCCCCACATTCCATTTCTATTCTCTGAGAGTTATTAAGAGTTTCTATGGGGCCAGGGATTTAGCTCAGTGGTTACACCACCTGTCTCGAAAGTGCAAGGACCTGAGTTCGATCCCTGGTACCAAAAAAAAAAAAGTTTTTATGCTTCCAGATATTTTACATTTCTCTGACATCTATATTTATATCCATATTTTTATTTTTAAATTATTTACTTAAAAAAGAATCATACTGGTGGTTCTTCAAAAAAATTAAAGGTGGAATAGAACCTTTGTGGTGGTTTTAAAAAATTTTTATACTTCTATTTTGAAAAAATACATATTAAAGGTAGAATTACAATATGATGCATCCTCTCCACTCCTGGTATACCAAAGAGTCTTGGAGAATAAAAATGGCAGCATAAAGGCCAGCAGCAAATTCAGCCTCTCTGGGACCAAGAGTCAAGACAGCTACAAAACAAGCATTTAGTGAACAGGCCAGGGATTTGGCTCCGTGGCGCTGCACCTGCCTCACAAGTGCGAGGTCCTGAATTCGATCCCAGGTACCTGGAAAAAAAAAAAAGAATTTAGTGAACAGAAAAAATAGAGCTTTGGGAATCAAGAAAGAGCCAGCTGAAAAACTATAAGCCCCAGAGAAACTGGAGAAAGTGAAGACAGCACAGAGAAAAGAATAAAGCTTTGGGTCTGGAACGCTAACTCTGGCTCCTAGGGAGGAGGTCCTATCTCAGCAAAAGTGAGGTAAGCCCAGAGAGGGTTGGAAACCCCAGGGAGAAACAAGGATCGGCAGCACTAGCCCCAGGAAAACCCCACAGTTATTGTAAGCTTCCTATACTCGTGGACTTTTACTCTGAAAGTGACTCTGCATCAGTCAGGCTAGGGTTGGAGGAGAAATTCACCACAGCTTCCACCATCTTGGGAATGATACACTCAGAAGCCATTTTGGGGAAAGGGTTATTGTTTAGGACTGAGTTACTACAGGAACCAGAAGTTACTGCACTTCTGCGTTGGTGGGATCACCCACTGCAGTGACTGGGGGAGACAGTCATGGAGAAGTGGCAGGCTGATCACAGGTCCCATAAGAAGTTTAAGCAGTGGTGAGCTCAGGTTGTGAAGGACATGGCAGTCCCACCCTCTGAGGTAAGGAGCCAGACCAGTCATGTGGTTTTCTGAGGGAGCTGTGTCTGAAAGTGCTGACATTGAGTCCAGCACACTGCTTGACCCCCTATTTCCAGTACAGAGCTGCGTGGTCTGTTTGCTCTTCCTGTCTGCCTATGTGATTAGAAATGCACTTTGGCTGGGATCCTTGTCACTTCCTTGGTGTACAGAGGGACCTCTGGAGCAAAGGAGGCACCTCATAAGCTCATGGGCCATAAATCTAGTCAGATAGCAGGGACTTGGCACATAGATGGGCACCAACACTAAGAGCTGCTGCAGTGAACACAGCCCTAAGGGTGACACTACACCATGGACTGACACCTCTGAGCAGTAAGGCAGTGCAGGCTTCCACATTCACACATAAAAAGAGGGTGTGGAAACAAAACAGGCCCCAGTAGTGACTCACTGTCCCCCACCCCCATGCAGTGGGTTACTATACTACAGTCTCTGGAAAGAAACAAACACATGGGGGAATTGTTTAGACTCATTTCTATCTTTCTTTGGTTTTTTGGAAGGTTTTGTTTTGTTTCTTTTTTTCCTATCTTTTGCTCTTTGCTTTTATTTTTTTTTATTTTTCTTTTGCTTGTCTTTTACTCTTACTTTTACCTAATTGTATTTTCTTTTATTCTTTAATTGGATTTTTATCTCATAGCTCTTTAATCTCATATCTCTTCTCATCTTTTTTTTTAATTTTATGTGTTTTATCTTCCCCTTCCCCATCCCCTCCATTTTTATTATTAAACTTTATTAATTTTTAGCTACTTAGTTGACTATGCTATTATTGCTGAATTCTTTTCTATTGTTAATGGTGGTATGGCTGTTGCTTTTAGTAGATATTTACTGTGTGTCATATTTGGTTTGTCTTTGTATCTATATTATTATTGCAGATCTCTTTTCTGTTGTTAAAGGTTGTATAGTTGTAGCTATTATTCATTCTTATGGTATATCCATAACTGGTTTAGCTTTGACTCTGTTATTACTGTTGTTTTTTGTTGTTGTTGTTCCTAGTGGCATAGTTGTTGTTTTAAATTGGTTTTAGTGGTATGCCATTATCTGGTTTGTCTTTGGATTGTCAACTTTATTGCAGATCATTTTCTCCTCTCTGAGTGGTATAGGGATCAAGCCCCCAGAAGAAGGTTGAACACTAACAAGATCCTCCAATATCATGCTGAGTGGGTTGAAGAGGGGTTGTAACACCAAAATGTTCAATGAGCTAAAAAAAAGAAACAAACACGCTGGGCATGATGCCCCACACCTGTGGTCCCAGCACTTGGGAGGCTGAGGCAGGAGGATTGCCACAAGTTCAAGACCAGCCTGGGCTACAGTGAGTTCAAGGCCAGCCTGAACTACATAGCAAGACCCTGTCTCAAAAAAATAAATAAATAAATAAATTCTTTTTAAAAAGAAAGAAACAAACTAATTGAGTTAAACTAATTGGGTTAAGAAAGACAATAATTGAAAACGAATTTGGAAGTATAAAAAGGTAATCAGAAATAGATATGAAAAATTCAATGGACAGCATGGGTAGCAGGCTTGACCAATGTGAGGACAGAGTATCAGAAACAGAGAGCAAGGTAGAGGTAGTAGATCATAAACTCCATGGTATCATAAACATGACGGGACACCATGCAAGCTGGATCCAACAGCTTACAATCAATCTCAGAATTATAGGAATAAAGAAAAAATTAGAAGATGCCTCAAAAAAGTACAAAAAAAATTCACTGAAGTCATAGAAATTTTTCCAAATCTAGGGGAAGATATTCAGTATTTAAGTACAAGAGGCATATAGAACTTCAAATAGCCACAACCAGTAAACAATCTCTGCCCACATCATAATCACAATTCCAGAAATTCAATAAAAGCAGAGAATAAGGGCTGAGATTTAGCTCAGTGGCACTGCTCCTGCCTTGCAAGTGCAAAGTCCTGAGTTCTATCCCCAGTACCGGAAAAATAAAACATAAAATAAAAGTAGAGAATATTAAAAGGTGGTAGAGAAAAACAGTTAGCAACCTGTAAATGTAAGCCCATCAGAATACCCACTGATTTCTCAGCACAAACATTAAAGGCCATGAGAATTGGAACAAAGGTTTTCAACCCCTAAAAGAAAACAAGGCTCAACCCAGACTTTTATATCGTGCAAAAGTAGCCTTTGAAATTTATGGAGAAATAAAGACTTTCCACCACATACACACATACCAAAAAAAAAAAAAGAAAGGAGAAAGAAATACATGATCACTAAACCAACATTGCATAAAATACTTAAGGGACTCCAAGACAAAGACAGAGAGGCTACCAGCATCAAAGAGCTCAGAAGAAAGTATACACTAACTGAGACAAAGGAAAAAAATTAACGAATCAACACTGGAAAAAATAATGTAATGATAGGATTCAATATACATCTCACATTAATAATACTCAACGTTGATGGTCATGTAGGGACAGGGGGACATAGGCAGGAAAAAGAATAAAATAAGATCTCATTAAGCTTTATTAAAGAAATTAGTAAGAAATCTTACTAAAGGCAGCTTTGCCTCTGCAGTTAGACTCCAGCAATTAGAAAGACAAAGGTAAAGAAAGAGAGAGAAACCAGACCCGGGAAGGTGCCAGGCAACACTAAGAATTTAGCAGGAAAAACAGGGATGTAGCCAGGAACGTGAAAGGCCAGGGTAACCACCACCACCCCCGCAATAAAATACAAAGGAGACAAGGAGCAGCCACCTAAAGACTCTTATTTAATATATAAAAGACACCCATATATATATACACGTCCCCTTAATTTCTATCTCTAAGCTGCCCTTCTATGAAGCTCCCCCTCCACGCTTACCCTTCACAAAAACTCAGTAAGAATGTAGACAGAGGTGCCCGGGTTAGGGTCAAAGGCAGCCAGACAGCCAATCAGATAGCAACAACTTCTGGGTGCCCACATGGGGGATGGAAGAAATCACTAGTCCTAAAAAAAGAGCTGGGGATAAAAACCCACAGTATTCACTTCTGATGCTCCTTATTCTTCCACAGTAACTGTCTAGCTTCTCTTTTTTCTATCTTTTTCCAAATAAACCATCTTCCCTTGCTTTAAACTCTGCCTCTGTACTACTGGTGCCAAGTTTACCATCCTGGTAGGATCCCAGGAGCTATGTGTGCCAGCAGAGCAGTGGCATGGCACGAAGTAGGGGAAACCCTCCCCGAGATGTGACAGTGTCATCTCCCCAGTCAAAATACACAGACTGGCATATTGGATTCTTCAAAAATGCAACCATATATTGCCTATAAGAGATACGTCTTACACTAAAGGAAGTACCACAGACTGAAAGTAAAAGGGTGGCAAACGATACTTCATTCAGCCAGAACCCAGAACAGGCAGGAGTAGCTATCTTGTTTTCAGAGACAGCAGAATTCAAGCCTGTCCTGCTCAGAAAAGACATACTGGTAATGAGAACAATTCAACAGAAAGAAATAACACTTGTAAATATCCATGTAACGAATGTTAGTATACGCCACTTCATAAAACAAAAATGACTAGACTTAAAAGGACAGACAGTCACCAATACAGTCGTAGTGAGGGACTTCCATACCCGATCCTCACAATTAGGTCAACCAGACAAAAAATAACAAAGAAACATTAGGGTTAAACTACACAATTGAACAAATGGACTTAACAGGTATCTACAAGGTGTTTTATCCAACAACAGCAGAATACACATTTTTCTCAATAGCACAAGACACTTTTTCCAAAATAGACTACATCTTAGGCCATATAGCATACTTAAATACTAAAAAATTGAAATAATCCCCTGCATATCAGATCATAGTAGGATGAGGCTAGAAATCAAAAGCAAAAAGAATCCACAAAAAAATAAAGTAAAATAAAAAAGAAGCCACGAAAACCATGCGAACACAGGGAGGTTAGATAATACATTGTTGAACAGTCAGTGGAGCACCAGAGAAATCAGGGAAGAATTTAAAAGTCCCTAGAATCAAACTGATACAGGGATGATATCAAACCTCCACATGATTTAGGGGAAATATTATAACTCGAAACCTGTTAGAGGTCAGGTACACTGAGTTTGTGTACCCCAAAATCGAAGAATTAATTCTAGGAACAATGGAGTTAAGAGTAGGAAATACTTACCGAGAGGAGAGATTCTAACTCCTGAGAGGCAGGAAGGATCTCGAATGGGTTGCCAAGGACCCCACTTCTCGGGGAGGTTTTATAAAGCACAACCATGTGGGTTCAAGCTAGGGTCCACCAATAAAGTTATAAGTGTAGTTGCCTAGGTAATAGTGATCCAATGGGGAAGCAAGTCATGTAGCAAGTGTGCATGGAAAGAACAGAGAACTTCTCAGGAAAATGATGGGTCTGAGGGTCTTGGCCACCTACTGAGGTGACTGATGTCTATCTAGACTGCATTAGGCCAGGTGTTACCACTTACCTCCTCCCTGGGGGAAGTATGCAGACCTGGTCATTTTGTCTTTATCCTGAGGCCTGGCCTCCAACTGATGCGCCTCCAGCCACAGTTGTAATGTGTTTTCATCTCTTGCACCAACTCTCTCGAGGGTCCAGCCCTATCTCTGCCTATCATGTTCCTACCTAACTCAGCCATCTATAAGACAACAACACTGTCAGAACAACATGCCCAAATCTGTGGGACTCAATTAGAGCAGTTTTTGTTTGTTTGTTTGGTTTTGGTTTTGTACTGAAAATTGAACTAAGGACCTTGTGCTTGCCAGGCAGGTACGGTACCACTGAGCTAAATCCCCAGCCCAAATAGAGTGGTTCTAAGAGTGAAGTTTATAGAGGTGAATGCACACATTAAAAGACCAGAGTGAGGGCCAGGGATTTAGCTCAGTGGTGCCGCGCCTGGCTGGCCAGCGTAAGGTCTTGAGTTCAATCCCCAGTACTAAATAAAAATGACCAAAATGATCCCAAATAAATAACCTAATAACACATCTTGACGTCCTAGAAAGACAAGAGCCATCCAACTCTGAAAGTAACAGAAGGAAAGAAATTATAAAGATCAGAGCAGAAATTAATGGGACTGAGATTTTAAAAAACAATGAAGGCCGGGGATTTAGCTCAGGGGTTTCGCCGCCACCTGCTGCGCAAGCACAAGGACCCCAGTTCGATCCCCGGTACCAAAAAATAAAATAAAATAAAATAAAATAAAAAATAAAAAAACAATGAAAGGAACAATGAATCAGTTTGTTCTTTGAAAGGATGGGAAGAGGAATTTGAGGGTGGAAGGACACAAAGGAATGGGAAGGGAAGGGAAACTAAAAAGGATAAAGATTTGAGATGCATATGTACCAATTCTCTGGTGATGAATGTGTTTACTACGTATCGCAAACATGTACTAATTTTTTTAAATGAGAAAATAAAAACAAAAATCAGGGTCTCAAAGATTATGCCCATAATAGCTATATTATTCACAGTTGGAAAAAGGTTGGAGCAAACCAAGTTTCCATTGACAGATGAATGGATCCACCAAATGTAATCTAAACATACAATGGAATATTATTCCGCCTTTAAAAAGAAGTTCTGACATGATACAGCATGGATGAACCTTGAGAACATTATGCTAAGTAAAGTAAGCTCGTCATGGGAGAACAAATACTGTTATTCCTATGATCTTGGGGACATAGAGTAGACAAATTCATGGACACACAAAGCAGTATGGATGTTGCCAAGGGGGAGAAATAGGATGCTATTGTTTAATGGCTAGAGAGTTGTAGTTTGGGTCAATGAAAAGAGCTTTAGAGATTGGAAGCACAAAAAAATACATGTAGTTAACACTACCAATCTGTACACATTACAACAGTTTGATGAGAAATTGTATGTTTTTACCACAATTTAAAATCTTTTAATTAAACAAGGACTACACTTTTTACAATTTGTATTTTTCAGGTAACGCTTTGGATAACTTACTGTGTGTACACGTGGAGCCCTGTCCCACTGTGATGTTAAGGGAGTATTGTATTTTTTTGCCTAGATTTTTCCTAGATTCTGCTAGTGGAAGGGAAGGGGTGAGTGGAGAAGAGATTAGTCACTATGCCCGAGTGTGCATTCTGTGTCAGGGTATGAAGTCACTCAGAACATGGGAAACAATATGGGGTGGTATTCAAAACCAACTCTGAAGAAAAGGAGGCCTTTGCCTCAAACTTTTTGTCTCCCCTTATTCAGATATGCAAGAGGTTTTATTGCAAGGAAGAGCAGGGAGGTTATACAATGAGTCAATAGACAAGGAAATTCCTCCA